AGCGGATTCTGAAGCGAGCTAATATTATTTTGAAAAGTTTGAATCATTGTTAGCCTGCTATTAACTGAATTAAATAGTTGTATCAGCGGTAATTCTTCGGTAGTTCTCTTCTTTTGCGTTCGTTACGCATAATGATTACAGAATATGAAGTGAAATTTTGAGTTGCTCTGTTAAATTGTCCAGGACATTATTATTTTGTGGTAGCCCTAGATGTGTGGTCGAAATTGATGTGCAACATAGATAGTTCCTGATTCCGCCGCGAGCGGCGCTGGTGTTTAATAGCCAAGGTCCGTTGTTTCGCTTAACATTGGGATATTAATTGAATAGCTCGCATAATTGGGCGGGTAATATTGAAAGCTTTTGCACTGGCCCCAGGCTATAACTGCCAAGTACACTGATGGCTATTTTGACCCTTATTGCATGGGTATAGGGAAAACAGACCATTGGTTTGGACTATGTGATTTTATATTAACGAACGATTACAATGATGGTTTACAAACAATGTAAGCTTAATTTAACCTTGTTTCGTTTGCGAAAGCGAAGTCCTTTACAAATTAAAACACACACAATTTCCTTCTATGTGTTTGGATGAAAATAACCCTATTTTAAAACAGTTGTGTTAGTTCAGGCCGGATTTTCAGTGGTCACGGTTGTGAAGGCTGAGTGAACAGCTTTAAGATAATGCAGATACGTCGTATATTGTGTTCATCTGTAACTGAGCCAATTGTTCGATAGCCGTGACCCGATTAGCGATGCACATCGGTGTGCATCGCTTGCAGTGGCCTCGCGTCGGTTGCAAGGGCGCGCCCTTTGTGTATAGGGAACATAATTAGTAATTACTGATATGACATGTCTTGGCTTGTGTACCATTAAGATCATTATCATTGTCATCATCTTCCGATCAAGCTGGATGGGTAAAGCTAGTGCCTACTTTATATTGGGGTGTATTTACCGCATTTTGAAAGTGGACATAGCATCAGGTAATCTCTATAATTCTGTAACATCTCAAAATATTATACTTATTAACAAAAATGTAAGAAGAAATAAACTATTGGTTGAGGTGCTGTTGACTGTCACATAATATTGTGTCCAGGTTTTATAATACATAATGATTATTAAATATTGTAAATATAGGTACCTACATTACTGAATTAGTTCACAATACTTAGGCTGAGTTGCACCACCTTATTTTAACCGTGACAGTAACAATAACCGGTGCTTTTTGTATGGAGTTTGACAGATTTTTGACGTTTGCCAATGTTAAAGTAAGATGGTGCAACCCAGCCTTACAAGTAAAAACAAAAGACAATCGAAACTGAACGAGAAAAAAGAAAAAATCTTAGTGGCCTGGCCAAAGAGTTTTGACCGCATGTGACCTCCATATCTCTGATAGCAAAAGTTTTTTTCGTATTAAGAGTATTTATTCTAGTAATGTCACTACCACATGCAAATTAAATCGCTGCATTCGCGCTTTGCAGTACTTTGTACAACGACCGGCCTCGTGTCGCTTACAAGGTCGCGCCCTTTTGATGGCATACTGTGTACAAAACTACAAAGTGCGCTTTTAATTATCGTGCCGAGCGCATAATGTGTAATAATTTTGTAATTTAGAGCACTAATAGAGCATTTAACATCTTATCAGGCATCCAACACTAGTATTATTTTTTGATCGGAAGCAATTCAGAATAAATGATCCATAAACATACCTGCGCAATATACCTACCTATTTGTTTAAACCTTCACCAGTTTATTTAGACTGTGGTATAAGTCTTGAATATATTGAATAACTAGCGGCAGCCCGCGACTTCGTACGCGTAGATCCCGTTTTAGGGGTGGAGTTTCGTAAAATCTGTTCTTGGTGAACACCTACATTGCAAAATTTAAGCTCCTAGCACTTGTAGTTTCTGAGATTTCGTGATGAGTGAGTCAGTCAGTCAATCAGTGAGCTCTCGCTTTTATAAATATAGATAGATTTATTCCTTTGATTAAAAACTTTATCTGGCGCAGCTGTTCACAATTTCGCGCAAAAATGGTTTTTGAGTGGTAGAGTTAAGGTAAAATATGTTTAGCTCATGAGCTATTACATGTGACTTTGTGTCATGACACAAAGATGAAGATTATAATTTGTCATTGTTAAGTTTTTTCTCTACACCACAGAGAACATCATGCCAATCAATCAACCATCGATCAAGTCGTCTGTTTTTGCGGCGCCCTCTCGCGGCAATAGTGATGTGCACATGCTGGGTCGGAAAAGTCAAAACTAAAAATGGTTTACTTACACTATATTTGATACCTAAGTAAAAAGTAAGTAGGTATCTCTTAAAAAAGTCTTGAAAGTAACTTACTGTTTGCTATACAGTGTATTTGGGATAGGGCTTGTGATAATTTAAGGCGATGTTATTATGTCAATTTTATCGATTCTTCATTATTTTTTTTTAAGTCTTTTGGTCATTATTTTTAAATTTTGTGTTTTTTTAATAACACATATTTTTGGATTACAAATGCAATATTTTATTTATCTGTAAGACGGGCACATAAGCAATACAAACAATTTTTATGTAGAGTCACAAAAAAATTAAGCCCCATTCCAAGAGGAGGGGGTAGGCCCACATATGGGGGCATTTTTGTCGATAAAATTGACATCACAACATCGTCTTAAATTATCGCTAGCCCTATCCCAAACATACTGTATATTTAGGCTAAGTAGCCCACCTAACTTTAACCGTAACTACATATAACTATATCCGATGTTTTTTGTATGGAGTTTGATAGATTTTTGACGTTTGTTAAAGTTAAAGTAAAATTGTGCAATCCAGCCTAAGCTTTTAAAAAGCGCTTTTACAATGAAGTCTTGCAGTCTCTTACACAAGCTTTTATAGTCAAATCTTTAGATTATAAAGTGTTATCAAAATTATAAATGAATAAAGAATTCTTCTATGGCGTAGGGTTGTGACACGAAATAGAAAATAAATGTCATAACAACAGCTACAACAGTGGTGACACCAGCGTAAATTGATATTACGCAAGTTTTTCGTGGAGTAAAGAGTAAATTCTCAGCATCCCTAGCGTTAGATGTGCCTCGCTTGATCCGATAACGTCAACACATGACATCATGGCGATAAATCCGTGTAACGCAACAATTTGTCACTCACGACTGCGTGAGGAGTGTTCCAATGTGACAAGTGGAACAGGTGACTGACTTTTTAGGGTTATACGGCTGTGGAATTGCTGGGTCTTCATTTTTTAATTAACCGAAGCACTTTTTTTTGCGAGTAGCTATGCTATTAATTTGAATTTTATACTCGTAAGTTTACTAATACAATGTTATGCAATATTCTATGCTATTAAGTCGNAAAAATAATATATTTCTTATGAACAGACACTAATGACTATTATAATGCTTCTGAGTAATTTACCTAATTTTTTGGAAATCAATCATTGATTTAAATTATCGTAAGTTACTTAGCTTATTTATTTGATTTAGGTATTTTGACGCCCGTATTCACAAACGATGCTTGCTTAAGTGAAGCAACAAATCGAACGCACAGCGTTGAATAGAGTTCTGTGACTGGTTCGTGTGTACCCCTGTGCGTCCACGCGCACTGTGAGACCTCATAGTAATGTTGTGAATACGGGCGTGAGTTTGTGCAGGCCATAACTGAGAGTAACACTTAGTTGAAGTTGTAATACCTAAATGAATATTTGAAATCGATTTGAAACGATAAATCATTTAATCTTCAGTAAATCGATAAAAACCACATAGTAAACCGGCAACTAATACCTACACTTACATAACGGAATCGGTCGAACAATCACGTTTAGGTTTTCTCCCCCCTCGGGAGCGCACGTAAAATGGAAAACTTTCCTACAGTTTGTATAACAAATGTGATTTATGCATGCCTCAGTGGAATTTAGTAATAATAACTTTGAATTCCTCAGATTTATTGACTAGGAAAATATGTTAATAAAGTGAAAATATTTGGAAATAAAACGAATATGTAGTGTCCAACGGCGTTTTTAAAAAACTCGTAACGGTGGGCGGTTAAAATTGCTTGCCTAAGGTTATTGATTTTAAGAAATTAATCAGTCAGTTTTATATACAGTATTACTGTTTATATTCTTGAGTATATAAAGTTTTATGTAGAGTTCTTTGTACTACGTACCTACCCTTGCTTTGTGTCGGACTTACGGTCCCAGCGGAAGCCTCGGCATACAATCAGAATACTCATCGAGTTATTACAGTAACGCAAACCAAAACGCAATGATAATCCGACCAATCATTACTTATATTACAGCCAACTATTCATTTTCCTTCAGTCAATTACCAACAAGGAGTTAGAGCGCACGATTTTCAATTTAATGACTATTTCCTGCGATATTATGAAGTACATCAATATATCAATAACTATCAGTTAAATGTGTGACGCGTGTGTGTGTTAAGTGTAATATACTTAATGAAAAAACTAAAAATGAGTGTATAAAAAGTGCAATGGATATTTTTTACAAACGTGTGATAACGTGAAAATTTCCCGCCTAGCGCAGTGTTTTATGTATTTTCATGGTGACAGTTTTCCCGCTCGGTAATCATGGCGCCATCAAGCGGCGGCCGCGGGTACTACTTCGTTTCATGTCCGAACCGTCAGAGCACGTTCAAAGCACGCTTGAAAGATTTGACTACCCGGTAAGAGATGGCGTTGTTATTGCAAAATAAACAGCCTAGTCACATTTTTGTTGGATGGTCGGAAAACATTAAGTTTTTCAGATTAAAAAAAATTTAATTGTTTTTATAAATTTTAATTAGGTTTTCACCATTTTCTTATTTGTCATCACTATCAAACTGAATTTAGGTTCCTAAACGAAGTGAAAAGTAAAATTCTTGTAAAATAATGAAGTCGGTTAAAAATTCGGAACCTATGTACCTACCTACACATTGGACATTATTCCACGCTGGAAAAATAATTATGACTCAGTTTTTCAATGAAATTCTTCTTTGTTCGCAGGCAGAGCCTGGGGATACGATAGCAACAACCAAAGAAGGTGAGACCTCATTTTATTAAGTCCTTATGTAATTATTATTATTATTTAGATATAAATTGGCTTTCCTTATTCATATTTTATTTTATTTTGCAGAAGAATGGGTGACTCGCAAGACGAGCGAGGTGACGACGACTCGTCAGATCGCGACGCGGGTCAAGCGTGAGCTGCTTCTGGAAGATGGCAGGATCCTGAAGGACTCCGGGCCCAAGATATCCACTTCAGTCAATGAGGATACTCACACCACCAATCTGCAGCAAACTGAGGCAAGCAATATCAGATTTATTAGAGGTTCTGTTGAAATCTGCTGCCTTACGAAATTAATTTAGACTATTTATGTATTTGCATCTACTTATGGTTCCTGAAATTCAGGTTTGTCCTCTTGAATCATGGTAACTTCAATTTCCGTCGAACACTGGACTATTGTGTTGAACCCACTCCTAACACTCCCAAGAATACCTAGACCTATATTTATTTAGCTGAACTCCAGAAATATTTGTATTCTAAAAAGTATAAAGTATAGTTTAAATCTATGTCACATTTTTTTTATAAACTAAACCTAGGTAAGTACCTATATCAAAAATATTTATTTCCTTCCGAAATTCCGATTTTCTTCAGTCATCACAAACCGTCTTTCAAGACGATTCATCAACACAGTGAGAGATTTTTTAACTAGTTTTAATGTTTTCAGCACCGGGTACCCGATGATCCGGTCTCTAAGGATGAGCCTGCTGCGATCTCTGGTGCGGTGGGCGGTGCCATAGGAGCTCCGATAGACGGTAATAATATCTACATTGATTTTTAGGTCACTTAGTAAAGAAAATTCATCACATTTTACAATATTCGTTCGTTCGTTCGTTCGTTTCAGCCAAATGACGTCCACTGCTGGACAAAGGCCTCCTCCAAGGTTTTCCACAATGCACGGTCCTGCGCTGCCCGCATCCAGGCTCTTCCCGCGACCTTTACGAGATCGTCGGTCCACCTAGTAGGAGGCCTGCCCACGCTACGTCTTCCAGCCCGTGGTCGCCACTCGAGAACTTTTCTGCCCCAACGGCCATCGTCTCTACAATATTACTCGTGAAAAATTTACGTATTTATTCACGGTTGTGACGAATTTACTTTAACTCGGGGTTGCACCATCTTTACTTTTGTCAGGGCGCCGGGAGTCCCACACACCACCCTGTCCCCCGGCAGTGGTGACGGTGCGCAAAGCATTTCCACCGCGACAAAAAAAAAATCTTTTGTACTCTATGACAAACACGAAAAACCTGTCAAATTCCATACAAAAACACCGGTTATAGTTGCAGTTACGGTTAAAGTTAAGGTGGTGCAACTTACAAATGTTTGTGTTGAATTTTATCATTACAGTATTACTACACTGTGCTGTACCTCTAGTACGAAAAACTTTCGAGTTCGTTTCGTTTGCGTATTCAAAGTGTCATCGAAAAATTTTGTATGAAAATTTAAACAGCGCCCCCTAGGGCGGCTATAATATAGGGGGCGCTGTTTAATTTTTCATACAAAATTTTTCGATGACACTTTGAATACGCAAACGAAACGAACTCGAAAGTTTTTCGTACTAGAGGTACTGATGTGATAAATCTATACTTAGTTAATATTGTATTTACCTACTTACTTCAGTTAATTAAACAATCGTGACGGCTAATTAACTTCAACTGTTAAACACTGGTTATTAGCAGTTCAATCATGTAAATGGTTAACATTAACTGTACACCGAATTCTACCTTTATTTATGGATCATTCCATCTCATTAGTCAATATTGCTTTGTATCATGTGTGATACTTATTTCTGTGTGTTGTTATCTTCATCATTAAAAAGCCATTAGTAATTTTAAGCCCGACAAGCAATTTGTAACAGATATGAAACAAAAAGTAATTTATACGCAAGGTTCTTGGTTTGTTTTCCGGGAGCCTAATGCAATTAAAAATGAGTATAGCGCGAAGATGAATGATGATGAACTTTTTATTGGTACAGATTCTTGCTAACTGACTGGGTTACTAAAAATAGTCAGTGCTAATAGAATTTGGTAATTTTGAATGACCTTAAAGTTATTTTAGTTTGCAATCAAATATACACGTTATACCAAGTTTTTAAGAGACTTAAAAATTACTTTTAAATTTTGTAAATATATTTCTCAAGTCGCATCTTACGACATTACCGGAAAGATTGCGAGGGTGGTCCTACCTATCCTACTCTTCCTAAGTATGTAATCAGTTTGTCCAGGATAGGGAGTGTAAGCCAAATACTTTTGCTTCTGGTAAATTAGAGAAGATCGTCTTAGTGCAGTGCAAACAAAATGATGATGATGATATCTTTTATACCTAATAGAACCCGATGGCTTAGACCTGGACGGTGTGATCGCCCCAGCCGGCACCAAGGTGCTGGTCTCCTCACGCGTGGTGGCGAACCCAGATGGGAAGGTGCGGGAGAGCAAGGACCATCGGGTCCTCACTAGAAACGTCACCGATCACGTCCGAGAGACCGAAGAACGGTTCCACCGAGGAGACACTACACATGACGTGAGTACTTTTTTTTTTATAAAACTACGCAACACAAAAAGAGCTGGCTGACAAGACATTTTCTCTTTTTTCGAAATTTAAAACACAATTTTCAATTTTGAATGCATAGGTAAAGTCACTTGTTTCGTTATTCATTTCTTTATTTTAGCACAAATTGGACTTACCACTGTTCATGCTGTGGTTCGATTCATAGAAGTTACCTAGAACATAACCACAGTGTGACAGTTAAAATACAGGTATTTATAATTACCATATTATTTATATATTATTACACACAGGTTATTAGCAGCAGATTTACTGATATTACAACATTGTATTTTGATTAATATGTAACAGATAGCCTTATTTATTTCGTCGAATCAATCATGATAACATTTTCAGGTTTAAATTGCATCGAAAGTTTGACCGCTCATTTTGTTGGTTGTTTTACTGTTACATTAATTTTCGTACTAACTTAGCATGTAGAGACAACCATTTATCCAATATTATATACTACCGTATCCATTGAATGCAAATTAGTTTTTTACGTGTATTTCGCCCAATTCTTCAATGTCTAAATAACAAAATTAGCAGCAAACTATCTAGAAAACAGTTTAGTGCGTTGAACCCGTATCAAACACTTTCAACTATATGACTTACAAGAAAGACGCAGGTATATTGCCTCCTCAGTGCGGATGAATCACGATCTCCATGTAGAGTTCCACTAAAACCTATAACGTATCATAACTATAAGCCATTAATTCTATAACCAATGTCAGGTCAATAGTTGTTTGCAATTTACGAATGCTTTTAACTCCATAGTATGCATGACGGAACTTATCGCTCGCCATAAGGTGTGACGACGCGTTGATTGTCAGAGGTTGGTTTCGTTCGCCATAGATAGGGAATGATAGACGCTAATGGAGGGCTGGGAATTGCGTTCCTCCCCGTAACTCGTCTAGATTGTTGAGCTATTCCTAGACTTAGATAAAGTATTTTTAACTGCACGCGTTTTATAATAAGGCAATACATATGAACGAGCCGCCTCGGATGGTAAAATATCTGTGGCACCGGGATACATTTTAAGCGAGGCTATCTCTATACTTAACCTCAAATCCTAATCATTCTCAATAGTAAGTGTTATCGTTGCTAAATGATACGTGTCTTTAAACGCTTACTATGAACAGCTTACAAACTCGTTTAGTTAGAGGGTTTGGTTTGTACGGTTCTGGAATTCAATAAGGAAATTGAAAACGGTACCTTTATTACAATCGTATTAACAGGAGTGCTCTAAAACGTCGTTACATCAATACATTGATTCACTGTAATAGCTGGTTTTGAACGTAATCGTAACAACTTATTGCTACATTATTACGTTTCAAAATCGATCATGTTTAGATACTGTGTCGTGTGTCCAATTTAGTTTGTAATTAATCAATAGCTTTGCAAGAGCATTTCGAAGGTATAGGAAATGAGCTGTCAGATATAATCTATATACATATATAAAAGAAAGTCGTGTTAGTTACTCCACTTATAACTCAAGAATGGCTGAACCGATTTAGCTGAAAATTGTCAGGGAGGTAGTTTAGAGCCAGGAGAAGGACATAGGATACTTTTTATTCCGTTCGAAATTAAAAAAAAAGTCTGTTTATTTATTGCCATTAAGGCGGAACAAAGTTCGCCGGGTCAGCTAGTTATGTATAAATTGGTATTTGGCACGTCCACTTTCAATAGACTTTAGTAAATAGGTGCGGAGCTTATTACTTTATTGTTTCATATTTTCACCAACAATGGTTGAACTAATGACTTGATATCTTAAAACAGTATTTCGAAGGCATATCTGTGAGACTATGTAAAAATATATCAAAAATTTTTTTTCTCAAGATCTGACTTAGGTACTTACTAGTCGTTTCTATTGCGACCACAAAAATTCTTCACACAGACCTTGATTGCCAAAAAAGCTTGTGGTTGCTAATACATTTAGCGTTTCCGTCTCCTGACACCGACTTTCCTGTCATTGCCTCACCAAATATTGTACCTGACGATTAATGTAGGCCAGATGATTGTATCAAGTGCAGTTGGTGTGTACTCTGGTGGCTTAGTTCCGTACGCGGAGGTCGTACACTGAGGTGAAGGCAAGTGGCTGGCATTTTGAATTCGAGCGCGAAATTATGTGACCCAGCGGTTAAACGCAACGCTTAAATGGTAGAATCGAAAGACCGGGGGCTTGAGCAATTGTTTGAAGTGCAATAGATTTTCCGGGATTGAATTGACTGATGATTTGAATAACATTAAAGTAGCTAATGTTTGTAATGTAGATGAAAAAAATATCTAACTAAAATCAATTCAATTACATTTGAGTTCTCTTTCAGCGATTTCAGTAAGGCAAAATTTTATGTAAAATGTATAGAAGGCTGTTGTCAATGATTCGGACTTGAAAACCCTCCTTGTTGCTCATCGGATTGACTAAATCAGAACAGATTTATCAACATTTTTTTAAACTAAGTACAGTAATAAGTATACATCATAAGGATCTAGTTCAGGAACTACTCAAACACTCCATGAATGCCCTTGACATTTCAATTGTTAGGCAACTGAAGGTCATGGTAATCTAAGATTAATAAAACCAGTCTAAAATTATTAATAAAATTAGACCTGATAATATCAAATACGTTTTAACAAAGTGCGTCGTTATAAAATTTTAAAACTTGGACGATATTCCAAATTATGGCATGCGCGGGCGCCGCTATGTCGGTTTTTTCCATTAATAAATTATGAGCCCTTACTAATGTTATTAAGTGATTTGTTAGCGAAATATTTATTTGGCAATAACATAATAGATTTGCAAAAATATGTGTAGAAAAAAAATGGTTTTATTGACACATTTGTACAAACAAATGGTGTAAAAACCAAGGACGACCTGCAGCCAGCAGCGCGGCAGTGTTATATAATTCTACCACAAAAGCCAAAATGTTACATAGACTGTTTCAATACATTCTGAACTCGGTCTGAAACCTAAATTATAAGAATGACATTATGAAGCTTAAGATTCAAGATCAATCTAAAAATAACCCTCCTTCTGGCGCGGTCGGGTAAAAAATACAGATTTAGATATTTTATCTGTCTTTATTTAGACAAAGCGTTGCACTGTTTGTAGAACTTTCAAAGTAAATCTGTTGTAACAAAGGATTCAATCGTCTAGAATGTAGTTATGATTTCACACAAGATATTTTAGTACGGTATTTAAAAACTGTAACAACAAGCTTGCTGTTTCCCTTTGTTTGATGCACGCACTTCAAGTGCATCTTTTTCTTGTAGATGTCATGGCTCAGTGAACAACACTTATGACATTGAATGGTAATGGATTTTCCATTCTTTTTATCTATTGTTACGCTAAAATCGCGGAAGTGATACCCTATTAGTGCTCGTAAATCAAACAGTATTTAACAGTACCTTGTATAAAATAGAAGTAGGCACCCTTGAAAGTACCTACAGCATGATTTAGTTCGCAACGTTTGTTTCAAATCATCTCTTGCTTTAAAACTTTGTATTTACTCGACAATAACAAACCGAGACGCGCAATAGAGTCCAATTTAACCCATAGCAAAAAGTATAAGAAATAAAATAATGCTCACTCGTACCTTACAAATTGACAACCGAACGGCGGACGCATAAATGCGAAACACTCTTATCGAGAAACAACAGTAAGATAAACAGCGTAAAATGGGGCAGCGCTTTATTCAGATGAGCGCTCACATAAATCGATGGTGATTTTGAAATTATAATTTGTTCACGGAGATAGGACGCCGCGGGCGCCTCGCCCACGCGGCTCGCGGGGCGCTGCATCGCTCTGAAAGCGCTGCGTGTATGTAGTGCACGCTTTTTGCAGACGCAACTTCAGAATTCATTTGTTTTTTTTTTGTAATTAGAGTCTTTAATTAGGCAATAGTGTACGCTAAGCTTTTTGCAGACGCAACTTCAGAATTCATATTTTGTTTATTTGTTATGTAGCGGAAAAATATTTTCTTGCGAGGCTCAGGTGTGTCGCAAGTGGGCAAGGATATTTGCGCTACCAGCGCTTTCTTGTCAATCATGTAGAATATCATAGAGTAATCTTGCTTGTAATCCTCTAAATCTCAAATCTAATTTCAATCTCGATGGCGACAACAAAGACAGCAGCAAAAAAATAAGTAGTAGGTATTCTGATACGGAGCTTACGAGATGTAACTACGCAATGCAAACAAGTACACTCAAGTGCTAAATCATGTTGCTTTAAGTTCAACAATGCATCAGTCAAGGTTACGATTGTTTGACCGGATAATATCCGGTATATTATACCTAACACCCCGAGTGTATTGTCGAATTTGTGTAACCTTGAAGCGATTTAAGCGCTGCAAAGCTGCCGTTGCGTTTGCGTTCTAACTTCTAAGGCATTGCGATCACTCGCGCGCAGCACCTTGCAAGCTGGGTTGATCAAATTTTCCCGCGCCACTCCTTAGTGTGTTTATATCATTATCTAAGCTTAGGTACACTCGCCTTGGAACCTGTTCCGTGCCTGTGTCTGCCTGGGTCTTGACAACGAGTTAATAAACAGATCTGAAATTAATTATCGTATCATAGCCTAGAGGTGCTGGTATGCTCTGTATAGGTCGATAGACACGTTCGTTTGGTAATTAGAATGTCCTCCAATTTTAGGGTTGGGCTAGTTTTAAATAAGTATTACTAACAAGAAATACCATATTTCATACATAAAGAGTTTACACATAAATAGAGACCATTCCAACATTATTTTTAGGTCATTTTCAAAAATGATGGTGATGTAAATTAATAAACTTATTGCCTATATCTCCAAAATGAGAGTTCATAATTTTCAGAGCTTATAGAGACAGTACCTGTTGTTAACTATTTTTCTTACAATCGAACCAAACTAATTAAGTCCAAGCGAATAGAGCTAATACTTGCTAATATTGAATACATTGTACGACTCGTTATATTTATAAAGTAGATTCATAAAACTAATG